AAGCACGCTCCCCTGAGGCAGGCCGTTCTTCTGTTTCCATCATCTGCTTCTCTGGCCTTGGAACTCAACCAAAAAGCTCCTGTTTTGTAGCAGGTTTCCTATGAGGCGGGTGAGGTGGTCGTCCTTTGTGATATTATACATTTTTCTCAGGAGGAGGCAGTGGTTCACAGTATCATAAGCTGCTGACAGGTCTATGAAGACAGCTCCTGTGATCTGCTGCCTTTCAAAGCCATCTTCTATGTGCTGAATCAGGTTCAGCACTTGCAATGTGCAGCTTTTGCCTTTTCTAAAGCCAGCTTGCTGTGGGATCAGACAGGGGTCTATTTTTTCCGTAATTCTATGCAAAGTAAGCCTCTCCAGGACTTTGTAGAGGTGGCGGATGTCAGGTGGGGTCACCTGACATAAATCAAGTAAAAAACAATAGATAAAAAATTTATATCTTGATATAAACTTATGAAATCAACTAGAAAATAACCTCAAATTAAAACTGAAATAAACCTAATCTAATACACAGTTTACCACGATTAAACCCCCAATGTTACAAGTTAGATTAAGAAGACATTAAAAGCATAAGGTAGTTTATGGCTTCCAAGGAGCTGAGGTAGGTGTCCAATATCTGGCCAAGGGTATATATAAAGATGTACTAGTCCTCCTCCTCTCCATAAAGTAAAGTGCATAAATGGGGCCATTTTTAGTATTCTAGGGAGGGAATTCCAGAGCCAAAAGGTAAGGGTTCACTACACCCCCCTCTCGTCCCCACCATCCTCGTTTGGGACGAGGTGGGACCGAGAGAAGGGCCTCCTCCGCAGACTGCAGCACTCGTGCTGGTTTGTGTACGGAGATGTGGTTTCTCACACGGTCTGGGCTTGAACCATTTAGGGCTTTATAGGTAATCACCAGCACTTTGCATTTAGCCCAGAAGCGGACCAGCAGCCAGTAACATGGGAGGGGTTCTCTCCCTTTACGGCGGTCCATTAATTATCTTTGAACCAACTAAAGCTTCCAAACTATCTTCAAAGGCAGCCCCACATAGAGAGCATTGCAGTAGTCCAAGCAAGACGTAACTGGACTCATGAATCAGTTGAGATGGACACATTAACTGAATGGATGAAGTATAGAACAGCATTGAAAGGAAACCGAGTCAATTGAGATAAAAATCATAGAGCAAGTGAGACTTTCATAAACTAGTGTTTGTTCATTAGTTTTGTTCTTATTGTGCAAGGTGTGTGTCCGTGTGTGTTCTATGTTTGTTAAGTAGCCGTTTCAAAAAATCCAAAATTATAATGTGTGTAAAAGAAAAATAAATAGCAAAACTGTCATTTGCATAAACATGCTTTGTTTTGTTTTTTATCTTTGAATAACAATAATAAAGTGTGATACATCAGCCAATGTGCTTCTAGGCTGTCCCAATGTGATTCTAGGTTGTCCCAATGGGTCTAGATACGGGTAAGTTTAGTCTACTCTCTTAGAATCATAGAATCAAAGAGTTGGAAGAGACCTCATGGGCCATCCAGTCCAACCCCCTGCCAAGAAGCAGGAATATTGCATTCAAATCACCCCTGACAGATGTCCATCCAGCCTCTGTTTAAAAGCTTCCAAAGAAGGAGCCTCCACCACACTCCGGGGCAGAGAGTTCCACTGCTGAACGGCTCTCACAGTCAGGAAGTTCTTCCTCATGTTCAGATGGAATCTCCTCTCTTGTAGTTTGAAGCCATTGTTCCGCCTACTCTCCAAGGAAGCAGAAAACAAGCTTGCTCCCTCCTCCCTGTGACTTCCCCTCACATATTTATACATGGCTATCATGTGTCCTCTCAGCCTTCTCTTCTTCAGGCTAAACATGCCCAGCTCCTTAAGCCACTCCTCATAGGGCTTGTTCTCCAGACCCTTGATCATTGGAGTTGCCCTCCTCTGGACACATTCCAGCTTGTCAATATCTCTTGAATTGTGGTGCCCAGAATTGGACACAATATTCCAGGTGTGGTCTAACCAAAGCGGAATAGAGCATGGGGAGCATGACTTCCCTAGATCTATACACTATGCTCCTATTGATGCAGGCCAAAATCCCATTGGCTTTTTTTGCTGCCACATCATATTATTGGCTCATGTTTAACTTGTTATCCATGAGGATTCCAAGATCTTTTTCACATGTACTGCTCTCAGGCCAGGCATTGTTACCCATTCTGTATCTTTGCATTTCGTTTTTTCTGCCTAAGTGGAGTATCTTGCATTTGTCACTGTTGAACTTCATTTTGTTAGTTTTGGCCCATCTCTCTAATCTGTCAAGATCGTTTTGAATCCTGCTCCTGTCCTCTGGAGTATTGGCTATCCCTCCCAATTTGGTGTCATCTGCAAACTTGATGATCATGCCTTCTAGCCCTTCATCTAAGTCATTAATAAAGATGTTGAACAGGACCGGCCCAGGACGGAACCCTGCGGCACTCCGCTCGTCACTTCTTTCCAAGATGAAGAGGAAGCATAGTGAGCACTCTCTGTGTTCGTCCACTTAACCAATTTCAGATCCACCTCACCGTAGTTTTGCCTCGCCCACATTGGACTAGTTTCCTTGCCAGAAGGTCATGGGGGACCTTGTCGAAGGCCTTACTGAAATCCAGGTATGCTACATCCATGGCATTCCCCGCATCTACCCAGCTTGTAACTCTATCGAAAAAGAGATCAGATTAGTCTGGCATGACTTGTTTTTGATAAATCCATGTTGACTATTAGCAATGACTGCATTTGTTTCTAAGTGTTTGCAGACCACTTCCTTAACAATCTTTTCCAGAATCTTGCCTGGTATTGACGTGAGGCTGACCGGACGGTAGTTGTTTGGGTCATCCTTTTTTCCCTTCTTGAAGATTGGGACCACATTGGCCCTCCTCCAATCTGCTGGAACTTCTCCCGTTCTCCAAGAACTCTCAAAGATGGTTGCCAATGGTTCCGAAATGACTTCCGCTAGTTCCTTCAATACTCTTGGGTGTAGTTGATCTGGCCCTGGGGACTTGAACTCGTTAAGAGCGGCCAGGTATTCCTGGACGACTTGTTTCCCAATTTGGGGTTGGATGTCCTCAAATCCCTCATCCACTCCGTCTTGCTGAGGTTGAAGATGACTTTCTTCTTGTGAGAAGACCGAGGCAAAGAAGGCATTAAGTAGTTCTGCCTTTTCCCTATCCCCTGTCAGCATTGCCCCATCTTCTCCTCGAAGAGGCCCTATCGCCTCCTTGTTTTTTCCTTTTTCTACTGACATAAGAAAAGAAGCCCTTTTTATTGTTTTTAATGTCCCTGGCAAGCCTGAGCTCGTTTTGTGCTTTAGCCTTGCGGACCTTTTCCCTACAGGTGTTGGCTATTTGTTTGAATTCTTCTTTGGTGATTTCTCCCTTTTTCCACTTCTTGTGCATGTCTCTTTTGTGTCTCAGCACAGTTAGAAGTTCTTTGGACATCCATTCTGGCTTCTTTGCACTTGTCCTATTTTTTCTTTTTGTTGGCACGGTTTGCAACGTGCCAACAAAAAGAAAAAATAGGACAAGTGCAAAGAAGCCAGAATGGATGTCCAAAGAACTTCTAACTGTGCTGAGACACAAAAGAGACATGCACAAGAAGTGGAAAAAGGGAGAAATCACCAAAGAAGAATTCAAACAAATAGCCAACTCCTGTAGGGAAAAGGTCCGCAAGGCTAAAGCACAAAACGAGCTCACCTTCTTGGTGGTGGCCCCTCGGCTCTGGAACTCCCTCCCGATGGAGATTAGATCTGCCCCTTCCCTCCTGACTTTTAGAAAGCTGGTAAAAACATGGCTTTGGAATACTGCATTTGCAGAATGATGATTGATACCCAATAACTGCTGACCACTTCCTCTCCTCCTTCTCCTTCTCCTCCTCCTCCTTCTTCCTCTGCTTCTTCTCCTCCTCCTCCTCCCTCTCCTCCTCCTCCTCCTCCTTCTCTCCTCCTCCTCCTTCCTCTCCTCCTCCTCCTTCTTTTCCTTCCTCTCCTCCTTTTCTTCCTTCTTCTCCTCCTCCTTCTTCCTCTCCTTCTCTTCTCCTCCTCCTCCTTCTTTTTCTCCTCCTCTCTCCTCTTCTCTCCTCCTCCTTCTTTTCTCCTCCTCCTCCTCTTCCTTCTTTCCTCTCCTCCTCCTCCTTCTCTCTTTTTCTCCTCTCCCCCTCTTCTCCTCCTCCTCCTCCTCCTCTTCTTCTTTTCCTCCTCTTCTTCCTCCTCCTTCTTTCTCCTCTCCCCCTCTTCTCCTCCTCCTTCTTATTCTCCTCCTCCTCCTTCTTTTCCTCCTCCTCTTCCTCCTCCTTCTCCTTCTTATTCTCCTCCCCCCCTCTCTCCTCCTCCTTCTTATTCTCCTCCTCCTCTCCTTCTTCCTCCTCTTCTTTCCTCCTCCTTCTTTTCTCCTCCTCCTCCTCTTCTCCTCCCCTCCTTCTCCTCCTCCTCCTTCTTTTCCTCCTCCTCTTCCTCCTCCTTCTCCCTCTTCTTCCCCTCCCCCCCTCTTCTCCTCCTCCTTCTTATTCTCCTCCTCCTCCTCTTCCTTCTTTTCCTCCTCCTCTTCCTTCTTATTCTCCTCCTCCCCCTCTCCTCCTCCTCCTCCTCCTCTTCCTTCTTTTCCTCCTCCTCCTCCCCCCTCTTCTCCTCCTCCTCCTCCTTCTCCTCTCCTCCTCCTCCTCCTCCCCAGGAAAGGCCTACCCTGGCCGTGGAGCCTGTGGCCTTGGCCCTCCCTGAGCTCCCCCTCAGCCTTCTCCATACCAAGGCCTCCCCATGGCCTAGCTTCCCTCTCAGTCTTCCCAGTCCCAACACAACCTGGCTGGCCCTGGCCCTCCCCTTGACCTTGCCCGGCTCCCACCAGCACGGCCATCCCTCCCTCCCTTGCCAGGCCTGGCCTCCCTCTTCCGCAGCAGGGATCCATCCCCAGGCTGCCTCTCTCTCTCTGTGTCTGTCTTCTTCCTGCAGTCCTGTTCCTTTAAGGCGAAGCCCCGCCCCTCTTTGGGCGACTGCCCGCGCCCGCCATGACAGCGCCGGGCGGAAGTGGGGCTCCTGGGTGACGTCACGGCTCGGCGCTTGGAGACAGAGGGAAGTGAGGGCGGCGCTTCTTCCGGTTGGGCCTAGCCGAGGGAGAGGCAGCCACACTTCTTCCCAGGTAGAGTGGAATCCTCCCGCGTGGGAGTGGAGGGAGGGATCACGAGACTGACTGACTGAGTGACTGTCCGTGGGCCTTCCGGGCGGCCTGGCCTCCTTCCCTCAGGCCCGCCCCAGGCACGAGGAGGAGGAGGAGGAGGAGGCCCAAGGAGGGAGGGAGGCCTGAGGCCTGTGCTTGGGAGTCGGGGCCAGCCTGGGAATCAGCCCCGGAAGGGTCGCCTCCTCGGGAGTCGAGGGAGGGAGAGAGGGAGGGAGGCGCCACAAAGGGGGTCCCAAGGGAGCGGGGGATGGGGGGTTCTGGTCCCTCGCCAGTGGGGTCCCTCCCCGTGGGCTCTGGAAGAGGGAGCCGGTCGGGAATCCCTCACCGCCCACAAACACACCTCGAGGCAGGCAACCAGACACACAGACACAGACAGGTGTGTGTGTGTGTCAAGGACACTCAGGGCTGGGCACACACTCTTTGAAAGGGCTCCTTTCCTTCCAGAGTGGGCTTGAGGGAAGGCAGAAGGGCCCTGCGAGGGAGGGTTGGGCTAGGAGAGGCATTGCCCTTGTCTCCCTCCCTTACTTCATTCCTCCCTGCCTCCCTCCGCCCCACTTCCTTACTTCATTCTTCACTTTATCCCTTCCTTCTCTTCCTTCCTTTCTTGCTCCCTCCCTTTCTTCCCTTCTCCCTCCTTCCTTTCTTCCTTCCTTCTCTCTTCCTTCTGCTCTTCCTTCCTTGCCCCCTTCCTTCATCCCTTTCTTCCCTTCTCTCCCTCCTTCCCTCCATTTCTTCCTTCTCTTCCTCATTCCTCACTTCATCCCTTCCTTCTGCTCTTCCTTCCTTGCTCCCTTCCTTCATCCCTTTCTTCCCTTCTCTCCCTTCCTTTTCTCCATCCTTCCTTCATTCTTCTCTTTCTTCCGCTCTTCCTTCCTTTTCTTCCCTTCTCTCCCTCCTTCCTTACTTCATTCTTCCCTTCATCCCTTCCTTCCGCTCTTGCTTCCTTGCTCCCTTCCTTCATCCCTTCTTTCCCTTCTCTGCCCCCTCCCTTCCATCCTTCCTTCTCTCCGCCTTTCCTTACTTCATTCCTCCCTTCATCTCCCTCCTTCCTTTCTTCATTCCTCCCTTCATCCCTTCCTGCCTCTCTTCCACTCTTCCTTCCTTGCTCCCTTCCTTCCTCTCCCTCCTTCCTTACTTCATTCTTCCCCTCATCCCTTCCTTCTTCTCTTCCTTCCGCTCTTCCTTCCTTCCTCTCACATAAATATGTGAGAGGAAGCCACAGGGAGGAGGGAGCAAGCTTGTTTTCTGCTTCCCTGGAGACTAGGACAAGGAACAATGGCTTCAAACTACAAGAGAGGAGATTCCATCTGAACATGAGGAAGAACTTCCTGACTGTGAGAGCCGTTCAGCAGTGGAACTCTCTGCCCCGGAGTGTGGTGGAGGCTCCTTCTTTGGAGTCTTTTAAGCAGAGGCTGGATGGCCATCTGTCAGGGGTGATTTGAAATTCCTGCTTCTTGGCAGAATGGGGTTGGACTGGATGGCCCAGGAGGTCTCTTCCAACTCTTTGATTCTATGATTCTATGATTCCTTCCTTCATCCTTTTCTTCCCTTCTCTCCCTCCTTCCTTACTTCATTCTTCCCTTCATCCCTTCCTTCCGCTCTTGCTTCCTTGCTCCCTTCCTTCATCCCTTCTTTCCCTTCTCTGCCCCCTCCCTTCCATCCTTCCTTCTCTCCGCCTTTCCTTACTTCATTCCTCCCTTCATCTCCCTCCTTCCTTTCTTCATTCCTCCCTTCATCCCTTCCTGCCTCTCTTCCACTCTTCCTTCCTTGCTCCCTTCCTTCCTCTCCCTCCTTCCTTACTTCATTCTTCCCCTCATCCCTTCCTTCTTCTCTTCCTTCCGCTCTTCCTTCTGTAGCAGAAACGCAAGGTTTCTACAATCTTACCCTGACGCCACGATTTTTCCAAAAACACTGATGCCACGATTTTTCTTGCGATGAATTGCAGCAGCGTTCATGCCCTCAGCCAGTCGATGAGCTGCTGATGACTGGCACTGCTCGTTCACTTCCACTGGGTTTTTGCTACAGAGCAGTGATACCAACTTCCCCCAAGAAAATTCCCCGTGAGAGCTACGTGCCTTGTAAGCTTACTTTCTAGATAACCCTCGTATGTAGATTTTTGTATTGTATAGCACTAAAACCTCTAAATTTAACAAAATTTAAAACCCACAAAGCTAAGGTCCCTTCTACACTGCCAGGTAATCCAGGTGATCAAAGCAGAAGATCTGCCTTACCTGATTTTGCAGCTCCATAGCTACTCAGTGCTATTCAAGCTTGATAATTGCACATTTGCTTCAAACGAGTGGTTGCCAACCCATGGACGGGAGACCTAAAATAAGGTCCGTGGCCGGGTGTGTGTGTGTGTGCACTACTGTTGGAGGAGAGAGAGAGAAGGAGAGCGAGAAAAGGAAGAGAGGGAGGGGGCCAGCGCTGTGGTCCTCACCCTCTCGTGGCTTCCCTGGCGCCATTGGAGGAGAGCGACAGAGAGAAGAGCCCTCCAACGTAACTATTGTTATTATCATCTCTCTTGCCAACACAAGAGTTGTAAAGGGAACGCAACCCTTTGTAAGACCCTGTGTAGTTCTCCAAAGTAATTATTGTTGTTGTTAAAGCCGTTAAGGACAGTTTCTTGAGTCTTGCGCGCCACTTTTTTTTCCCAGCCTCAGTCTCTTCCTCCTTTTTTTTAACGTGAGCGTTAAGAAAATCCATGAATAATAACACAGCCAGATTAAAAAAAAAATTCTTGGTGTCTTTGTTTTTACATCTGTTACTGGGGTTATTTTGGGGTGTTGATTCAGAAAATTGCATTGGATAGACCACAACTTTGATGCCAGCTTGACCAAGGTGGGTCGGCGCTGCTTGTGTTATTGGATCTCACAGCAGCATTTGACACAGTTGACCACAATCTTTTGACCCACCGCCTTGCTGTTGCTGGAGTCAGGGAGGCAGCTTTAAACTGGCTCCCCTCCTTTCTTTTTCTTTTTTATAAATAAATTTTATTTAAACATTTAAACATACAAAATACAGAGACAAGAGGGAGGTTTAAAGGGGTAATAGCAGAAGGGATAAGTTAGGTATGGGGAAGGAGGGGGTTGAAAGGTAAGAAAAAGGGGTGTGTGGAGGGGGAGGGGGGAATGGCAGGTGAGGGTTGGGTACTTCCAGGTTAGCCCAGCGTGGTACAAGTATTCTTAATTTTACATGCTTTACATTTATTCAATACATATTTAGTTTTCCAACTTCTGTCCCTTCTCTTAATATTTATTAAAGCTTGTTTATACTTATTTGCTCGGGGTGATCGTTCCCTTCTCCATCTGTCATTTTCTTGGATTTCTTTTATAGTTCTATTGTATACATCTCTTGGTTCTCCTCCTTGATGAATTCTATTACACATTTCCAGTCCGTTCTCTGTGGTTTCTTGTAGATTTGTGAGATTCTCTGCGTCAAAATGTCCATATTCATTATGTCCATTATTTTGCCAATCCAGTGTTCTGTTGTTGGTATCTCTTTCGTTTTCCACACTCTAGCTAATACCATCCTAGCAGCAGTTGTCAAATAAAAAAATAATTTATCCCCATTCTTTTCCAAATTCAGATTATGAATTCCTAATAGTAGTATTTCTGGTCTTAGTTCAAATTTTACTTTAAGTATTTTTTCTATCATCTTGTGGATTTGTGACCAATATTTTTTTACCTTTTTACAGTTCCGCCACATGTGGAAAAACACGCCCTTTTCTCTGCCACACTTCCAGCAACGATCTTTGGTCTTATCTTTGTTAATTTTTGCTAGTATCTCAGGTGTAAGATACCACCTATAAAAGATCTTAACCCAGCTTTCCTTTAAATCTGTGGCATATGTATATTTAATTTTGATTTTCCATATTTCTTCCCATTCTGCTAGTGGAATTGATTGGCCTATGTGTCTTGACCAGTTTATCATATTAGTCTTGATTTGTTCTGTTTCTGTAGCCCAAATTAGCAATTGATTATATATTTTTCTTATAATTTTTGTTTCGGTAGTCAGTATCTTGTCCCAGAAAGGTTTCATTGTTTCAAACCCTAGTTTCTTATCTTCTTTGTAATTTTCTACAATCTGAAGGTATTGGAATCAAGAGATTGAGGGATCTATCTGATTCAGTTCCTCTCTTGGTTTTAAAGTTGTGTCCTGCCCCCTGATATTTAAGAGTTGATTATATGTTAACCAGATCTTCCTTGGTATTTCCCTCTTATGGTATGCCTCGTTAGGGGAGAACCATAATGGTGTTTTTTGGTACAATCTATTTTTGTATCTATTCCATGTATTAATTAGAGCAGCCCTTATGGGGTGATTTCTGAAGGCAGATTCTTTTTTTCCCTTATCCCTCCATAGGTAGGCATGCCATCCCTGGTTTATATCAAAGCCTTCTAATGCCAGAATCTTCTCCTTTTTTAGTGTCGCCCACTCTCGTAGCCAGCTTAGTGCAGTTGCGTCGTAGTATAATTGTAGCTCGGGAAGAGCCAGACCTCCCCTCCCTTTATCGTCAATCAAGTTTATCGCACTTATTCTATGCTTTTTGCTGTTCCAGATAAACTTAATTATTTCTTTTTGCCACTTCTTCAGCATAGTGTTTGTTTTAAGGATTGGAAGTACTTGGAATATAAAAAGGATGTCGGGTAGGACGTTCATTTTTATTACTGCTATTTTACCAAGCAGCGATAAATTGAATGTTGACCATTTCTGCAATTTGTTCTTAATTTCTGACCATTTCTTTTCATAATTATTTTTTATAAGCTGGTTGTTATTAGGTGTAATTGTTATTCCCAGATATTTTACCTTTGTACTAATTTTTATTCCCGTTATTCCTTGCAATTTTTCTTTGTTTTCTTTATTCATGTTCTTCACAATGATTTGCATTTTATCTTTGTTTACCTTCAAGCCCGCCACTACTCCATATTCATCTATTGCTGATAACCATTTATTTATGTTGT